CATTTGTTTAACCGCAAAAGTACAGTTTTTATATTAAATGTTGCTGAAACAGTCAGTTTCTCAGTGGATCTGCACTCAAAAATGCAGCCTAGGTGGAGTAGTCGAACACAGATCCACTGATCCTTCAACACAGAGCATCTTCAGAAGACATGTTGATAAAGTGAATTTTAAAAATCTGGATTGTTCGATACAAGTGTGTATTAAACCTAAAGCACTGTTTGATACGGTTCAATACGGGTACATGTATTGTCGCACCTCTAATGAATATATATATATATATAGTATGGTGTAGGGCAGGAGTGTCAAATTCATTTTCCAAACCAAGATGTATTTCATCAGAGATTTAATCCAAATGAACTTTCTGTTCCTAGATTGACCTTTTGTTATTGTCTTAGAAGAGGAGGAAGTCACACAAATTTTCAGTTCTCTCTTTGCAGAAGTTAATCCTTTGGAAAGAGGAACTATCTTGAAACTGTGGGATGTCACAAGCTTTTGTCTTATTTTCGAGTTGTTTTTGTCATTTTGCTCGCACACATATCAGATAAGAAAACCCCACACTCAATTACTGTACGCAGTATTGAGAAATCAAATAAGGTTGTTATGGCCACACGTTGGAAAAATACGGATACACCTGTGAGGTGGCGCTGCATGTTTTTGTAACAGGTGGAACCAAGTTAGCCTTTCCTTATTTGAGGTTTCTTACTGCTTTAGAGGTGTAGTGAACTTGAATTATTTCTCTGCTTTAGTAGATAAACTTTGTTAACCTTAATACTTCTTGTTGGGTTTTTGACTTGATCCTCTCTCATGGGAACAAAGAACTATAGTGTGGTGTTTCAGTTTGTTACGTTGTTGTAGGTGATGATCCACATGAGGAGAAAATGGACCTTTTTTGTGTTGCAGTTGCAGCTGTCGTGACCCACATGAACGCTGACCTGAACGGAGTAGAGCCGCCTGTTTCTGTGACCAAAAACCTTATTGGTTCAGACCCCGGAGGCTTCGACCTGATCCTGCTGGGTGACATGTTCTACGACGAGCCGCTCGCCAACAGCCTCCAGGGCTGGCTGGACCGCTGCGTTGGGACCCACGGCACCCGGGTCCTGATCGGAGATCCCGGGCGGGCTCAGTTTGAGGGRCACGACGTCAGAAAGTCCCTGCGTCACCTGAGCCGGTTTGAGCTACCTGACTGTGTCAGAGAGGAGAACTACRGTCTGACCTCCAGTGATGTTTGGTGTTATCATCCTGAGTTCAGTTCTGAGGACTAAAGTGGATCCTATCTAAAATACCCACAATGAGACAATAAAGCTTGTCAGACCACTGACTTTATAAAAAAAATCTATGGCCTACAAAGACAAGATGTTGCATCTGGAACTTTGATTCTTGTCCTCTGCTTACAGCAGGTGTTATCAAACTAGACAAAATAAAGGTATTTACTTCTCAGGGTCAGCTGCTAAGGCTCAAAACATTTCTCACGGGTAAAATATTTTGGTTTCTCACCGTCTTGTAGGCGCCAGGCTCAGCTGTTGCCTCACTGTTTGCTGTGCTGGCTTTTTGGTTTCAATTATTATTATTATAAAGTATAAGAAAAAAAACATTTTTTATTCAGACGGACCTTGAGTTTGACATGTGTCCTGTTATATAGTGTTGAAGTGTCCTCCTCCATGGCGGTAGTCTCTCCTTCCCCTGAGATAGGCGTCYGCCTCCTTTTCCTTTTTTGGAGGAGCTTTAGATCAATTGTAATGGTGTTTTCTTTCCATTTGCTCTTGGGCTCCCCTGGCAGCTTTCCAATTCTCGAGCAGCCAATTCTCACTCTCAACTCGTCACATATTGACACTTTTCCCCAAGGTTCCCTCTGTGTCCAGTTTTGATGCATCGGGTACCCCTCTCACATCAGCTATTGACAAGATGGGGTGGAATCCGTTATCATTTCAGAAAGTGTAGAAAATGCACAAAAACTAACTGTCCCAAAGCCTAATATTACCTGTATTCGCTCTAGACATCCTGTCCCTGACCCAAGTACATAAAATTAACCATCAACCCTGATCACTAAAATTAACCATCAACCCTCATCCCTAAAATTTACCATCAACCCTCATCCCTAAAATTAACCATTTTTAGAAAGTGTAGGAAATTCACATCAACTACATGTCCCAAACCCTAAGATTACCTAATATTCGCCCTAGACATCCTATCCCTGAATCCACTACCTAAAATTAAACATGAACCCTGATCCCTAATATTAACCACGGACCCCAACTCAAAGACTTCTATATTTTGCGTCCTAACGCGTCAAAACTGGATGCTGAGGGAATACGGAAATGCCTGGTGCATCAATAAGTGACAGAATGGGTTACCCAATGCGTCAAAATAAGACGCAGAGGGAACCTTAGAAAAGCATGACGAGTCGGGAGTGAGAATGTGTTACCTCGAGACATTATTTTCTCTTTTCTGGGATCTGATCTTTTACACGATTGAAACCAAAATCGGCCTATGCAAAGAAAAATTAAAGACCTTTTAAAGCTGAAGTTTTTCCTTTAATCACATTCACACATCATATAAAGTGTTTTAGTTACATTCTTGGTTGCAGTGTTTGTTTTAACACGGTGCCTTATTCAATACACTTCAATTCAATTCAGTAATACTTTATTAATCCCAAAGGGAAATTAAATGTTGTACCTCATTATCCTGCTTAACTTAAAGAGTTATAGATGTCTGTGGGCAGGAAGGAGCTCCTGCAAATGAAAAGCTGCGCACCACAGTGGAGCGAAGTCACGTGTAAAATCTGGGATCCTATTTTTGCCAGACGCCGGAGCGGCTCCAGAATAATCTACAGAGATCACATCGCACCAACAGGAAAAGGAACAAGCACGACTTCCGTATATTCAAAATAAGACACCATGAGGAGGAATAGTTTTGTCAAAATCCCAGCTATATTAATCAAKATATGGATATATTTCTACACAAATGCTGTCAGAATGCATCGTTCTGTTTGGGAAGCAGATGGCAACGTAGATGAAGCATTTCTGTAACGTGGTGAAAAATGGGTACCACTTTACAATAAGGCTCCCCTTATATGGCTTATAAATAGTTTATAAATAGGTTATTAATTCATCTGTAAACACGTTATAAATCGTTTATGTGTTTATTATTCATTAATTAAGAATGGGAAAGAGACAAAACTGTCTTGCCAAATAGTGAGCCAAATGTGTTCATGTAGATATCACATCTAAAGATGCTTATTAAACATTTCAGACTAGTTTACTACCTTGTAAGCACAATAATTTATTGAAAAAACATTTTATTGTACTGTATTACCGCAATATACATATCTCAGTAATCAAAGGGAGCCTTATTGTAAAGTGTTGAACAGTATAATAATAATAATGTCATAACAGAGCCTTATAAATAGTGTACTGTTTTACCCATTACAATAAGGCTCCTTTATGGCATTTATACAAGTTTATTAGTCATCAATAAGTATTGTACCTACTGTCTTGCATTTTACAATAAGGCTCCCTTTGACAGTTGTTAAAGTAATATAGTTCAATATTATTTTTTTAAATATGTGTTTCCAATACATAATTGTGCTTATAAACCTAGTAATATGTACACAAACAGATTTGSYTMACWATTTGGCGAGAAACCGGACAGTTTTGTCTCTTTCCTGTCCTTAATTAATCCATAATAAACATTTATTAATGATTTATAAAGTGTTTACAGATGAATCAATAACCTATCTATAAACTATTCATAAGCCATCTACAAGGGGAGCCTTATTGTAAAGTGGAACCGAAAAATGTGTTATTCACTGGGGTGCTCAGTCGCTGTTGTGATGTTCAGGAAAAAGTGCTGACAGGCTTAAGTTAGTAGAACAGTGAAATCTTTATTTCAAAATCAAAGCCTGCATCAAATTGTGAGCCCTCTGGCCCAATTGATGAGAAGCTCCCTATTAATTACGGCTGGGCAATTTATTGGATTTTGATCTTGATTATGATTTGGGTTTTCAATGATCATAAAAACATAATGATCGAAGTTTGCAGTTTATGCTTACGCTGTTTTGTGTTGTGAATCCAGTGCCACTGCCAGCACGATGCTGCAGGCTCCTTGCACAGCCAAAGTTTCACTTATTTTTTCAAAAAAATATTTGAAATCTCACAGGAAACATTGTTTAACAGCCATTGTTTATGTTTAATAAATTCATGTTATCAAAGTGAATGGATAATTTTGTTAAATAATCTAGATCTCAATTTCAATAAAAAAAATTGTGATTATAATTTTCGCAATAATCAGAGAAAAAAATACAACATTCGTCAAATGACATCACACGAAAAGTGGCAGGTGCCCCGCCCCTTTTTGACAGTTGAGGGCCGACTTCAACCGGTCCATCCCCTCCTCCTCTTTCCCCTTTCCATCAAACTGTCACCACTACCCCCCCACCCCATCCTCACTTCCCCTTTTCATCAACTGTCAGCCTAACCACTTCCTCTGCAAACTTTCCACCATCTGCCCCTCACTCTACTCTCCCGCTCCCATCCCTGAAACCTGTCAAACTGGAAAACTTTTCATCAAATGCCCCCTACCACCAATCACATCCTTTTTCAYGCYCACTTACACCCCCGATCCCGCCGTCCTCCGGTCCTAGAGTGTTGAAAAAGGATGAGTTCATCTCTGTACATATGCACAGAAGTTTCAGGCCTTGTCACATGTGTACAGATGTATTTTTAGACACCACACATACACGATACACATGGATTTTATTTTGAAATCAGAAGTTTCAAAAAGACGACAGCRATACAGTTTCAACCATAAATACTGTATCAAAAGCCTTTATATCTATGTTTTCAGCTGTGTTTGGAGTTTGTCTTTCACAGAATTCATCATTTTTTGCTCTGAATTCCATATTAATCACTGGGTCCAAATTCACTCAATTTCATCCAGATTTTCGTCCTGATGCATCTCAGTAATCCAGGTAAAAAAATCAAAAAGAAAAAATTGTATAGGTCTTCTGGACGGGTTCTTCTCTAATGAAACGTTACGTCTCTCCTCCAAGAGACTTCTTCAGTCTGAGAGTTTCAGGCAAAATTCAGGCTTTTAAGCACAGCCTCCATGTGACTGATACTAGCATCACATGCCTATCGTTGACACCTAATTAACACCTATTGTTAACAGGGGGTGGAGTGATCCTGGCTATAGCAGCGCTGTAGGAGGGGGACAACTGAAAACAGAGGCCTCCACCTCTGTTTAATGATGGACGGTCTTTCTTCACAAAAATGGCTTCTTTTACTCCTCTCTCAAACCAACGTTCCTCTCTATCAAGAATGAGAGTGAAAGAATGACCGCTGGCCTGTAAATGAGTGAAAACTGCAGAGTTCTGGCCATTAGATGTAGATGTAGATAGCCATGTGATGTGAGTATCAGTCACATGGAGGCAGTGCTTAAAAGCCTGAATTTTGCCTGAAACTCTC